CAAAAAAAAAAAAAAAAAAAAAAACTTTTACATTAATTTATCCCTCCACATGGCAACCTTGGGAGATGGGTACTATTCTAATCCCTATTTGCAGGGAAACTGAGGCTCAGAGGGCCTCACAGCTGGCAGATGGAAGAGCCAGCTTTGAGCCCAGGCCGGTCCTGGTCTGAAAGGTCACAGAGGCCCCTCAGGGGCCAAGCCTGGCCCCCCATGCAGTCCCACCTGCACACCCCTTCACAGGTCACACCCAGGCTCCAGCCCCCACCTCCAGAGGGGCTTGGGAAACACAAGTTGATCAGAGCAAGAGAGAAGCCTGGGACTTCAGGAAAGCGAGGTCATCTGACTCTGAGTTGTCAAAGGATTTGAGGGGCAAGAGCTGGGACGAGAGCTCCATCACCAAGGTGCAGTCCCCTCCAGGGCCTAGGACAGGGGTTCCTGCTCCCCACCTGCCAGCCCACACGGAGCAGGAAACGAGGCCACCTGGTGGCCAGTAGGCAGCAGCACAGGGCTTCAAACTACCACAGGTTCCTGGGCAAGTCCCTTCCCCATGAGCCTGTTTCTTCACCTGTAAAATGGGTCTTATACTGTAGCCTTTCTTGAGGGGTCACAGAAACTGAGAATGAAAAGTGCCCACAGGTGCTCAGCAATAGTGGGCAGAGCCCTAGGAAGTCCCGGGGACTCGAGGGGCAGCTGGTGAGGGCACAGGAGGTGGTGGCCTCTGGTTTAGGCACTGTTAGGCCACAGATTCTCAAGATTGCCCAAAAGCTGGCCAAGGAGGGGTCCCATTGGTCCTTGACCCCCTACTGCACAAGCTTTATGCTGATGAGGGGGTACTCCTGCCCAAGAAAGGATTAATAATTTATTTATGACATTTAACAAAACCCAGACACCACCTCACTGGCATCTCTCATCAAAAGAAAGCATCAGTCCTCAGTGGGGAGGGATGAGTGTAGGGAGGAGAGGGCACCTGAGCCTGGGGCCCAGGGAATGGGGGTGGGGGTGAGCAGGCAAGAGGCAAGGAGGGGAGGGGCTTAGAGACCCTGGGAGAAACGAGAGGAACAAAAGAGAAACAGAGAGAGGCAGCCAGGCAGAAATGGGAGGCTCAGAGGCAAGGCCTAGGGTAGACAAAAGCTGACAGACATGGGGACAGAGCAAGAGAAAGGGACCGTGGAGAGAAGGAAGCAAGGACAGAGCCACAGAGAGAAGCAGAAAGTCTCAAAGTTCTTCTAGTTAAACAGCACTCACTGCATTCAGTACCTGGCACAAATAGGGTACACAGGGTGGATGGTGACTAGATGGATGGACAGTGGATAGCACGATGGGTAGATGGATAGATGGATAATTGAATGGTGGAAGGATAGGTGGACAGATGGATGGTGCACGGATGGACAAGTGGATGGACAGATGGATGGTGAATGGTTAGATGGATGGTGGATGGATAGGTGGATGGATAGATGGATGGTGAATGGTTAGATGGATGGTGGATGGATAGGTGGA